ATTAGCTTACCCAAACCCTTAGCTAGGTCCTGTGGCCACTCCAACTCTATCTGACAGGAGGGGAAGTGCAATGAAGGAAAAATTACAGTAGAAACAGACAGCTGTTTTGACTGATTATGGTTAAAATGTATTTGCAGATTTTACAGAAACATGTTACTATGAGAACATACTGCCCAGGCCCTTCCCAGGGCCTTACAGGGGCCATGAAGCTTAAACTTCATTAGCTTCAGGGTAAATCTACCTTGTATTTACATATTATTAAAGACCACCCCCTGCAAAGAGTTAACTAATTTAGAATGTGGGCTCTGAAATAATCATGGACCAAGAAAAGAGGGCTAGGTCTTTTCCCTTTATATAAATTCATACATCTGGTCTTGGAGAGGTTCAGTACCACATCAACCCCCTTCCCCTAATAGTCTTATATCAATAGGACTTCCCAAGGGGAGGAACAAAAGAGCAATAGTTATTCCACAAATCCTTTCTCTCTTTCCCTCCAAGTCTTCTGTCCACAACACTTGTAATATTATTTAATACTTTGCCTCTTTAACCTTAAATGGAACTAACATTCATCAAATACCTATTACCTGTCAGACGCTGTTACCCAATATCTTCACATTATTGCCAGATAATTAGGGCAACAATTCCTGAGGACATAATGAAGGTATAGTTGCAATGAGTCGATTCCAGTCACTGTAGATGGGAGGTCATTACTTATGTACATATTTATGTTTCATATATTAATCTACAGGTTATGTTTAAAGTATAAGGATTTATATAAATTTTCTAGAATAGGATTCTATTGGCTGTGTTTACATCTTTATATAAAATTTAACTCTTAAAATAGGATTCTTCTTGGGGGTGTGTGTGAAAGTGATTAAGAATTGTTTATTTGGCAAAAGTTGGTGGAGATCAGTTTGTTGTTTGTTTCCCAACACCTGCATTCACATCCAGGTGCACACAGTTGTTTTTTTTTTTAAAGCAAATTCAAATAAAGAAGGAGCAAGATAAAATTCTAGATTTATCTATCACACGACTATAATAACTATTGTACTGTATATACAGCAAATACATAAGTTGGCTCTAAATGTTTTCTGATACTGCACTTATTTTCTTAAGATCCACAAAATGCTGATGAGTGAAATATGGCTTTTCATTTGTTGACTCAACAACCAGAAAACTAATTAGGGCTAGAGGCACATGCATTCATCAACTTAGAACCCTGTCAAGCCCTGAAAGGTCTGAGGCAGTGGTAGCTAAATTGATGTTAGGAATATGTGAGTTCTTCTTTCTTAGGAAAAATAAGATCTTGAAACATTTCTTGGACATGGAAATTGCTTAGAACATATTTAATGCTTTAAGTGCGAATATTGAAAATGTGAGCCCTTTCAATTACTGGGGAGGAGACATGGTATCTGGCTGGGACCAGAGTGGCGGCTCTGCTGATGGTCAGCTCTGGTGTGGGGCAAGGTCCTTCACCATGCCTGGCACCACTAGGTTGCCAGGCAGTAATGAACTGTGATTAAAATCAAGAAATCAGGACTCACATTTTCATTGGAAAAAGGCTGAAAACTCACTTCAGATATAGAAATGGTGTTAAAATGTGACCATTTCTATGCCCCTCAGATATTCTGTACCCACAGAGTATTTTCCCTCCATTCTTTCCTACATCAGTCAGAAGATGGATGAACCACCTATGGCACCAGAAAAGGCAGCAGCTGAAGGCACAGAGCCCTTCACCCCATTCTTCCCTGAACAGGAAACCTCAAAAACACTTGTCATTTGACAGAGTTGATGTCACAAATGTCAATCATTACTAAGTAATGTTTATTGCATTCATGGAGTTGCTCTAGATGCTACAAATCATCTGTTACTACTGGTACAACTGAGAATTGCCAGTCACTTCCTTCTTCATGTAGGTATCTTATGTTTCCAAATTGTACCAAGAAGTAATTGTTCTGACACTTGGAGGCAGCCCTCCCCACAAGTGTTTTGCTGCCCAGTACAAAAGGTAGTTGTGTTTTTTTCCCCCAAATCTATGCATACTTCTCTCATTTCTTATGCCATTTTTTTTTGGCCAGGAAATTATACAACCCAAGGTCAGTGTTGCTTTCAAAGATAATGATAGCTGCCATCTATTGAGCAGCTATTGTTTTGTTTAACCATTATAAAAACACTCTGAAGCAAGGAATCCTTTTCCCATTTTGAGACAAGGAAATGGAAGTTCAGAGAAGTCAAGCATCTTGAGCAAGGCTACAAAGTAAGAAATAAGTCCAGGATTCCAAGCCCAGTTTGTTTGAACTCAGAGTCTATGGGATGGATAGATGGATATACATTGTGGGGGAAACAAACAAACAAACCTGGAATTAGAAATGACACCAAATTCTGATAAGTAACTCCCCTGTACCTTGCCTCTCCAGGATAAACATCTCAAGTTGCTACAATCCTTCTTTCCGTGACATAGTTAGAGATGTCCTCATCCCTCTGGTCACTGTCTTTTAGACCTACTTGAGTTTGTCAAAGGCCCTGTTCAGGCCAAAACAAAACACAGTGCTCCAACTGCCTCTAACCAGTGCAAAAAAGACCAGAACCCCCGGCTTCTCTTGGGAGGGATACTGCTGAGAAATAAAGGTCAAGTTTAAAGCACAGTTCTACATGTGTGATGGTTCCCAATGCATAGTAGTGCTTGTACTTTCATCACTGCAGCCAGCTCTGGTGCTAATGCTTAGAACCTTGACCATGTTCTTCTCATATGGCAGCTGCATTCAACACAACTCTGTGGTCTTTCTCAACAGAGTGATCACTCAGATGTGTCTTCCTGCAGCCCCCACCCTTGTGTAGTTCATTGAGGGGGACACACCAGTCATTCAAAGGCTCTGGCTTACACTACCTTTGTCTGCTCTGGGCTGTGCACTTTCTGATTATCTTGCAGAGTCACTTATTCACACTGAAGAGGCAGCTATTAAAATTGAAATCCAAAAGGGGCAGAGAAGAACGAGGCTCATAATATTCATCGCATTTCTCCAGTTCTGCTGTTCTTATTTCACTTTACTCTTAGCCTTTTGACTTCAATATGGTGTTATTTTCTATTACACTACTCCACTGTTTCTGTGGTCATTATTATATTTGTTTCACCCAAACCAAAGATGGAGGTGGAAGAATTAAATCCCTTTGTCAAAAGTGTAGCAGAGGCACTGTGTCCATAACATGCCCATGTTAATGCCTCTCTTTCCATAAAGATCCAACTTGTATCCTGCTCTCCATACAACCTCTTCTGATCGCCCCCAGCCCCTGGTAATTTCTCCTTCTTCCAGCTTCTGTGTGCGATACTGCAAGATACTGGAGGGATCTTTGTCTGGAAAATTACACCTCTGTCATACTGGATTCTTGCATGCTACCTTTGTTTGGGTTAGTGCTGACATTTTTAGAAGGCTGGGATCCTCGGAATCATCAGCACCTGGGACTTCAGTACAGTAACCTTCAAGGTTGTGGCAACAACAAATGTCCTCAGCCCGCTGCTCCTAGCAGAAGGTGTCTTAGCACAAACAGGTGATGCTTTAAGTTCACAGATAAAGTTTGGTGAGTGCCAGTAATGAACAAAGGAGTGGAAACTGAAAGGGATGAACAATTCCAGAGACAAGACTTTGGGATCTTATCACGATGGTAACCCTTTGGGAACTGGGAACTGGATCAATATTCTGGGATCCTGGGATCTCTGTAAAACAAAACAAAACAAACAAAAACAAAACAAAAACTCAGAAAACAAAGCAATATTTGCTTTACTGGATATGGAGAAAATTTATCTAGTAATTGCCTAGTAACATAACTAATAATATAAATTGATGATTAAAAAAATAAACTGCAGGCTGGGCACGGTGGCTCACACCTGTAATCCCAGCACTTTGGGAGGCTGAGGCAGGCAGATCACGAGGTCAAGAGATAGAGACCATCCTGGTCAACATGGTGAAACCCTGTCTCTACTAAAAATACAAAAATTAGCTGGGCGTGGTGGTGTGTGCCTGTAGTCCCTGCTACTCAGGAGGCTGAGGCAGGAGAATCATTTGAACCTGGGAAGGGGAGGTTTCAGTGAGCAGAGATCGCACCTCTGCACTCCAGCTTGGCGACAGAGCAAGACTCTGTCTCAAAACATAAATAAATAAATAAACAAACAAATAAATAGAATAAAAGAAAATAAACTACATTCTCTTTTGGATTTTGGATTGCGTATATGGATATATGGAATAATTCCAAGGGGTGTGAATATGAAGAGCAACCAGAGAGAACCTGAGCTGAAACTCACATGGTTTGTGGATGTGGATACCACAATGTGAAGAAAAGAGCTCTGAGACGTGGGTTTCATCTAGTTTCTTTCTATACTTTTCATGCTGGCTCTGAGTCCTAAAGCAGGTCACTCTCTGTGGTTATGTTTTCTCATCTCTAAAATGAAGGAATGAAGGTGTTGAATTTCATGCTATCTAAAACATTTCCAACTGTAAAATTCTCTTTCTAAGCTATTCCCATTCCAGCAGGAAATCATTTTGTTTTCATTTCTACGTATCTTTAATTTTAGATGATCGCATGCCTAGAAATGGTTCCATAAAAGGATAAAGTACTTTAAATCACTCTCTCTCTCATCTGTTTTTTTGTGTACATAGAAAATGTCTGTTATCAGTGATTTCTGGGGTTGGGAAAGTGATTTTTAATTTTCTCTCTACTGCTGTGCTATTAGATTTTTTTAATAATAGCATACATTTATTAAAAATATGAAAATGAAAACCATGCCCTTTTACTTTCCGGATTTCCAAGAATAGGACATATGAAGTGAAGTTAAATTAAGCTCATCAAAGATAAATTAACTTAAATTGTTATTTTGTTCATTGAATTTTTGTAGGTAGTTTTTGATAAAATGTTGGAAAATCATTTAAAGAGATGAAACATACCCTCATTGTTCCAGCTTCTTTGTGTAGATGATAGCAAGGTTTTATACAAAGGAATATTCAATGAACTGTGTGTATATGAGTGACTTTGGATTTTTTCCAGTTTCAGTTCTCTTTCAATACATATTGAAAACAGCAGAGACCCAGGAATTCTTATCTAAGTTATGTGCCAAAACAAATGATCAGGTTACACCTGTTTGGCTTACACTACCTTGGAAACCACTGGGCTTAAAGCACTAGTTTGCTTTCAGGGAAACAATATAATCAACTCATGCTTTTTTAAATCAAATGAGTAACTGACTGGATCTCTTATTAATCTCCACATCTGTGTCAAGAGGTAAGTTAAGCTTATTTTTCTTACGATAGATTTTGTCTATTTAAAGGGAAAATTGCATTTCTTGTAATTGGGTAGTCATTACTTCTTTTTAAAAAGTTTCAGTGACAGAAGTTATCCAAATTATTGCAAATCTCATCATACTGCCGTTCGGTTTTGTGCCGCATCACATGTGCTCTTTCTGGATAAGCTGCCACGAAGTAAGGTTGCCTATGTAGAATGTGTGGTTGATTCTAAAGCTTTCAGAGAGTGTAGCCAAGAAAGAATGCCAGACCTGAGCAAAAAGTGTGAGGGCTGATGTGAATGAGCAGGACGAGGGGGCACAGAAGAGCAGTCCAGGACCCTCTAGGGACATTTTCTGTGTGGATGGAGGGCAACTTTAGCACTGTTTCTAATAGGCGATTCTCTAAAAATGACAATGCTTATACAGGAAATTTAAAAACCTTGCAAGGTGTGTGTATGCACATATGTCGGCCTGTGTGGGTACTGTTCTTCCTACTAGCAGGCTTCATTCCTGCTGTACATCTACCCATCGTGCGTCATTTATTTGGCTTTCTCTTGAGCATTCCCATTATGTGTTGTTTCTCATAGGCTGAAATAATTAAAGTTCTGATACTTGGTTCCAGTATGATTTTAAGTACTATGTAAATGTTTTATGCAAAGGGCCAGATAGTAAATATTTTAGGTTTTGAGGGCCATCCTGTCTCTGTCGCAACTGCTCCACACTGCAGTTCTAGCATGAAAGCAGCCATCAACAACAGTAAACATTTAGGCATGGCTGAGTCTCAAAGAGTGTTATTTACAAAACAGGTGGTGGACTGGATTGGGCCTGAGTGCTGTGTAGTTTGCAGAATGCTCATAAATATGAGTGCAGAAATGCTGACATCCTCTGGCAGTCCTGAAATATGAGCTGGTCATTCTGCTTTTTTGCTTTTCTGTTTGTTTTTTAAAAGCTTAGGAATATGAACGTACATATAAACTTCTTGTAGACACTTGAGAATATAACAACAAACCCTCAGGGGACCACAGATTGGGAAACAATGTTTTAGGGATTTTCCAAATAGGCCATCTTCAAAAATAGAAATGCCTCGTTCAAACAGGGAATTCGAGTTTGCTAGTGTCAGCAGGCACAACAGGACTCAGAGATGGAAAGATGCCTGTGGAAGGAAATAGTTTTCTTCAGGGGTTAGATGATTTGTATGCAAGGCAGAACAGAGTTATGAATGGACCAGAGAATCCAGCACTCAGGGGAGAGCAGAGACTAGCCATGCAGAACTAGGATTCTTCTACTGCTGGATTTGCTACTGACTTATTGGGAGTGTTGGATGAGTCTCCTACCTCTCTGAGTTTTTCAGTTTTTCCATCACTGAATTGAAGGTTGTACCATACATCCTGCTCACTACTGAAGATGGAGGTAAGCATTGGATGAGATGCTGTGAAATGCTGCAGAAATGGTCAAGTGCCCAAGGGTGAGCATTATTGTTACTAAGAGGTGAAAGGAGCTGGGTATGAAGGCTGATGGATTTTTCAGGGAGTGTCGCTGGCGTCTGCAAGGCAATTGGAAATCCAGTGCTCCTCAAACACAAGTTTCAAACCAGCACTTTTGGGGAATGACGAAGGAGCTCTCTGGCTCCCAGCAGTGCAAGGGCTTTTTGGACAGTATTTATGCAGGTAGCCTTGCCTGTCTTCCTCCCAGAGGCCAGCTTGACATTGCCTGAACCTCGCAGGAAGTAAAGCCTCCAGTGTTGGGCGAGAAGTTGCTGGTGTGGCAAAGCTCATACTGCAATAAAAGAAGAACAAGTGGGTTGCTCAACAGGGGTCTCAACAGTGTCATCACAATCAGAACTGGCACTCAGTTCCAAAAGTTCAGAAAGTCAGGCATATTGTTTACTCAGAGTTCAATCTATTCTAAGAGATTCATCCACATAAGCCAAGCCCAGGGACCTGATTTATAAAATGCATCTCCAGCAACTGGAACTCTTGTGTCTAATTTCAGGAGGACTTCCTTGCACAGCATAAACCATTTCAGCAAGAAAAAAATTATTACTCAGAAGGCTGCTTGGTAAATTGGCATAATGAGAATCAATTATTATGTGTAGTATCTGAAATTCAACATTTCCTGTGCATTCTACACTTTTATTTGCTTCATCTGGCAACTCTAGTTCCTTCTCTTAAATAACATGTGGTCTGTAAAGACGTTAATCACAAAACAAGTACATGATTACAACTTACAAGTGGCATGAAGGAAAAAAGCCAACATAATGAACAAGAATACCAAGGAAGACCTAATTTAGATTAGTGGGGTCAGGGAAAGCCACTCTGACTCAGGTTAAGGGGACCAGAGTATTGTAGGAAGGAGGAACAGAATGGATGTACTGTGTAAAGGAGAAACCAAAAGAAGGAAAGCGTGTCTGGAATTCAGTATCCTTTGGAGATATGCAAGACAAGGTTGGAGATGCAGGCATGGGCACAACTACACAGGCTTTTGTTGTCCAGATAAGAGTTTGGCCTTTTTCCCCCTACCCTCAACACAACAGAAAACCATGGTATGGCAGAGAAATGAGAATACACAGTCTCCATTTTAAAAATTAATCTGAATGGATAATGGGTTGGAGGGGCAAGAATGAGAAAACGAGTGACAGCTAGAAAGCTGCTATGGTGTCTAGGCAGGAGATGAAGGTGGCTTGGATTAGAGTGGTGCAAGTGCAGATGAAAAGAGTGAAAAGTTTTGCTATGTATTTCAAAGGTAAAAACTTTGGCCTTGAATGTAGATTAGATGTGGGGTTTGAGGCAGAGAGAAGGATGAAGAATGACTTCCAAGTTTCTGGCTTCGATACTTGGGTGGATGGTGGTGCAATTTACTGAGGCAGAGAACACTGAGAAGGATCATTGCTTTGGCTGGGAGGCAGAAAGTGAAGAAAGTACTGGCAAGATTTCACTTCTGAATATTTTAAGTTTATGAGATGACATCCTAGTGGAGATGACAAGAAGGCAGCTGAAAGTCAGAGATGAGAGGTCTGCACTGGAGATACATGATTTGGCAACATTGACATATATGTAGAGGCAAGAAAGATTTAAAAGGATTCACTATATGATTTTTCTACATGGTAATTTTCCAGATGTCTGTTAATTGGCTTGCTTTGTAAACATTATTCTATAAACAACTTTCTCCAATTGTTACAAGAACCAAATCTATACGTATGAAAGAGTTACAGGTCTCTGATTTCATAGTGTTTCTTATTAGGTTTTCTTCAGATTTAATTTTTATATTCTTATTGTAAAGGATAAGAATGCCATTGTCTTTCCATCAGCAAAATATCTGAAAATAGGGGCCAGGCACGGTGGCTCATGCCTGTAATCCCAGCACTTTGGGAGGCTGAGGTGGGCAGATTACAAGGTCAGTAGTTCGAGACCAGCCTGACCAATATGGTGAAACTGCGTCTCTACTAGAAATATAAAAATTAGCCAGCCATGATGGCAGGCACCTGTAATCCCAGCTACTCGGGAGGCTGAGGCAGGAGAATCGCTTGAACCCAGGAGGCGGAGGTTGCAGTGAGCTGAGATTGCACCACTGCACTGTAGCCTGGGCAACAGAGCGAGACTCCATTTGAAAAAAATTTTTTTTAAATAGGATGGACATTTATCAGATAAGTCATAATTATGACATTTGATGCCATCATCCTCTGATTCTATTCAAAGATCAGTCACTTTTTTTTGTTGCCTTTCTTTTAGCAACACAGTATCTTACCTTCCTCCCACCTCTAAAATGCCCAACAAGGTACTTTCAAATGTTCAGTAAGATTATATAAATATCCTTTTGAGTAATATGGACAAATGCCCAGTGATACATGTCATGGGGAAACATAATATTTTTTTCCTTTTTAATCTTTGGGGCTTTGTTTTAATAATTCATAAAGCTTCCAGTAGGCTTAAGAATCCTTTTTATTTAATACAATTTTGTTTGTGTCCTGAAAACAAGGACATTGAAGTATTTATTCCCTGCTGAATAGGGCATTGTGTACACGTAGCTTTGTTTTCCCTGAAAATACCTCTTAGCCTTCATGTGCCTTCTCAGGGCTCTGGAATGTGGGCTTGCTCTATATTGCTTCCTCTGTAAGAGAACATGTATTATGCTCCCAACATGCATGCTGTTGGAACATCTCAGTTTTCTTAACTCCCTGTTTCCCCTCACATCACCATTTCCATGATTCTCTTTTGGCTGAGTCTATGCAGAAAACAAGTAGTATTAATTATTGTAATAGGAAACAGGAGCTGAAAAGGCAAAGCTTTCACCTGAGAAATTATAAAGTAAATTAGTGGCAGGCCTGGAGCTCTAGCCCATATCTACTGGTTATGGTAGAAAGTTTAAAAAGTGGCTCTCGACTGGGAAGATTTTGTCTCCTCTCTCCAGGGAACATTTGGAAATATATGGAGACATTTTTGGTTGTCACAAATGGTAGGGGAGCTGGTTTCTAGCTGCTAGGGGCCAGAGATGCTGCTAAACTTCCTACAATGCACAGGACAGCTGCTGAAACAAATAATTAATCAACCCAAAATGTGTACGGTGCGAATGTTGAGAAACCTTGCTGTCAGATAATGGAAATTAGACTTGAGCCCTGCTCTGCATCTTACTTTGTGACCTCGAGAAAGTGGCTTCATTTCTGAGTCTGCCTTTTCATTTGCAAGAACAAAACCACCACCATCATAAGGCAAACAAAGACAAAAAACAAAACAAAACAAAAAACTACCTTTCGGAGTGGTTTTGAGAGATCAATTCAAAAGCACAGAACAGAGTTCTGAGCATATCATGGACCCAACAAACAATGAATCAGGCCCATCCCACGGAGTTCAATGATAAGATGGAAACAGTCAGTGCCAGAAAGCAAATGTCACTGAAATGAAAAAGAAGGCTCTTCAGATCCTTGTTAGCTTTTATTGGAAAAAGAGCAAGAGATGCAAAGAAGTTTAAGAGAATTAAATAGCATCGAGGATGTACTAGAAGGTGAGGGGAGGAGATGATGAGACTGGAAATAGAACCTAGTGGCAGAGTTGTAGGAGTGATGAGATTTCAGCAGTGACCTGGAGATGGATTTGAGATGCATTTAGGAGGAATCTGAAGAACTTTGTGGACAATTAAAAAAGGGTTATGAGAGAGGAGTCTAGGATGAATATGAGATTTCTGATGGGTGCTTTGATGTTGGTGATGCCATTCAATAAGAATGAAATCGAAGGGCAAGGAAAAGAACAAATTCAGTTGTAGATGTATCAAGTTCAGAATTCTTGTGGGACATTTAGATGATCACCACGAGGCGGGGAACTATGGAGGTTTAGGGAGAGTCAGGAAGGTGAAAGCAGAAGTCGAATCCATGGGGATGAGTGAAATTTTCTAGGGAGAGCATGAAGAGTAAGAAAAGAGCAAAGGACAGAATTCTTAAGAGCTGGACAACAAAAACGAAGATGAAAGAATCAGGAGGAGTGAAACAAGAAGAGAGGGTAGAGTGGTGTAGAACTCAAGTCTGAAGAAGTTTCAGGAACACAAGTGCAGGCAACAGTGTCAAATGTCACAGGAAAATTACATAAAATTCAAGTGTCCACAAGATTTGGCAGTTGCGTGACGGTGCTAACTTTAGCATAAATGTTAAGTACAATGATGAGCAGAAAACCTAGACTCAATGAGTTGAGGAGTAAGTAACAGTTGAGGAAGTAGAAATGAGGGATAAAGAAAGAAAGACTGTCAGTAAGATAAGCTATGAAGATTCTCCCTCTCCCCCACTAAAAATGGACACTTAAGCATATTTGTAGGCTGAGAGGAAGGAGACCAGGGAGATTGAAGACCACAGAATACAAAACAGGGAAAACTGACAGATCAAGAATGGGATATAGAGTGTGAATGATTATTTTGGGGCAAGAAGAGGGAGACTCTCCCTCCAAACTGGGTAAAGAAGGTAAATTGGGTGTGAATATGTCAGTCTGGAGGGTGAGGGAGAGGAAGTTTGTATTGGAGAGCTTTACTTTTCATTATCAAATTGGTGGCAAGCTGAGCTGCTGATATGGGATATGCGAAACAAGAGGAAGTAGGAGCAGGTAATAAACCTCAAGGATTGGGAGGGGCATTAACGAATTAGAGAAAGTGAGTAGAGACTACAGCGTCAACAATCTGGCATGTGAAGGACATCTCAAGATACCAGGATCACCTTGATATTCATATCTAATTATCTTCATATCAGTAACATGACCCATCCATCTTTAGAGGGAAGCAATAAACTAGAAAGATTTTGCCAACCACAGAATTGTTTGCAAATGGGGTAGTGGGCAGTGGGGTAGATGACCAACCAAATCTCAAATTAAAGTGGACATGGGATTAATTATGTCCATGGACCAGTTGTATCATCTCCTTATATGTAAGCATATCCTTCGGGATTCCTGGAGAGCCCTAAACCACCAGAGTTGTTGTAATGCAGAAATTGTAATTTATCTTACATAATCCCTCAAATAGTAGAAATGATCTGTAGAATAGAAGTAAATGAATCCTGATGAAATTGTTTTATTTTGCAGAGTCTTGCCTTCTTTTGAGCCTAAGTCATGAGTTGGATGTTCCTCAGAGATCTCCTGAGTGGAGTAAATAAATACTCCACTGGGATTGGACGGATTTGGCTGGCTGTCATGTTTGCCTTCCGTTTGCTGGTCTACATGGTGGCAGCAGAGCATGTGTGGAAAGATGAGCAGAAAGAGTTTGAGTGCAACAGTAGACAGCCCGGTTGTGAAAATGTGTGTTTTGATGACTTCTTCCCCATTTCCCAAGTCAGACTTTGGGCCTTACAACTGATCATGGTCTCCACACCTTCGCTTCTGGTGGTTTTACATGTAGCCTATTGTGAGAGTAGAGAGAAAAGGCACAGAAAGAAACTCTATGTCAGCCTAGGTACAATGGATGGTGGTCTATGGTACACTTATCTTATCAGCCTCATTGTTAAAACCGGTTTTGAAATTGGCTTCCTTGTTCTATTTTATAAGCTATATGATGGCTTTAGTGTTCCCTACCTTATAAAGTGTGATTTGAAGCCTTGTCCCAACACTGTGGACTGCTTCATCTCTAGACCCACTGAGAAGACGATCTTCATCCTCTTCTTGGTCATCACCTCATGCTTGTGTATTGTGTTGAATTTCATTGAACTGAGTTTTCTGGTTCTCAAGTGCTTTATTAAGTGCTGTCTCCAAAAATATTCAAAAAAACCCAATTCCTCAGTGTGTGAGTGCCACAGCCTCAGACATGTTGAATGTGGTAGGAGAGGGACCCTACTCCAGAATCATCATTCACACTTGGCCATAAATATACTCCCACCGCCTGAAGCAAAGCTACTTGGTGACACACAAGAGGGTTACACAAAGAAAACCTGCATCCCTCCTCAGCAAGGCCTAAGCTGAGTTGGAAGACAAAGCATGTCAGCCTTAGTATCATTTGGGAGGATTTTTTTTTACATTGTCAAAATGCTTTCGGTTATGAGCACTAGACAGAGGTCTCATTGTTTTGTTGTAGGGTTCGCCAGTATGTGGATAACATTAGTTGTTTTAGAATAGGTAATTGCAAATTAGTCTGAAGAAATCTAACAGGATTCTTTTAAGAGCTTAGATTTTTCAAGAAAAAACAAAAAAAGAAACCCTGTGTCAGTTTTCTGTTTTTTCTAACTATCTCATTACAATTTGTGCACAATGAACTGGAAAACATAAAAAGTGACACTTTAGACAAATGTGATGGCCTTCGAGCTGAAATGAAGGAACTGGCCATCTTTCCAAAGTGGCAGCCAAGGCCCCCACTCCCTGTCCTACTCAATCTCTGTAGGGAAAAACTGTGGGATAGGACATTAGCCAGATGGAGACACACAGAGGAACATTCAACAGGAAGATCTCCAGGCCTTTTTCCGATTCAGGGATCCTTGGATGTAAGAGGACTAGAGGAGAGGGAGGAAAGCTATCATTTCAGTGGTCTTCAAATTAAGTACAAATATTACTGGGAGGTATCCCACTTAAGCCTGAACCAGCAGATGTTCAAAAGGGTCACTCTAGAGTCAGAAAGGCAGGTCCCCCAGAAGGCAACACATTGATAGGAAATGGAGGCCACAGAAAAAGAATGTGCCCACTTGACAATTACTTAAGATTTCTATTTAACCAAAAGAACATTGAAATACTTTGTAAATATTCATATTGTTGAACCTTTCGTAATCAGGAATTCCCTATGTACTATATAGTATGTATGTCCCAGTTTGCCTATAATTTAGTAGTATATCTCCCTCTAGAACAAACAGTAAAATGTGTACTACGTTGTTACAGTGGTGCAAAAATGTTTAAAAAGTTTATCACCTGTTTTGAAGACTAGAACTTTCTTTACTTTTATTTTTCTAGAAATTCACAGATACATTCTCTTTGGATTTAATACTCTAACATATATACACTTCTTCAGAATAAAAATAAAGGTATTTCACAATGCTCTTTGGCTGTCATTGGTATCTTTGCTAGACTATAGTGGGTATGATTACTCTGTGAAATAAAACATGTTCTGACAACTTTAGAACAGGATTTGCAACACTGCTTGGTAAAGATAGCTCAGAAATTCTTCTTCTCCCTTGGGAATTTAACAGAAAATCAGGGCATAAAAATGTAATTTTAACTAAAAACCAATTATGTCTTCCATGCCTTGCCCTCTTTAGAATATAATCTCATTACAAGTCATACGCAATGAGGGTTATTTGGGTGATTACGTGGTCTACAGACTATGTCAGCAGCAGTGGTCATTATCTCTATCTTAAAGACTGTGTTCTAGACAATGGAGAGAAAGGTGAAATTTGTGGTTTACTCCTTTTTGCAATTTATAAGACAGATCACTGCTGGACTTGAGCTTACAACCATGTACTTTATCATTGAACACGAAAACATCTACCCTGCACGAATGCAGGTAATTATGAATTTTGTGTGTGTATGTGTGACAATAATAGGTGGTTAAAAGAAATTTAAGGTTTTTGAGACCCTGATCGTGGCACAAAATCTAGAAAACAGGGTTTCAGAATGCAGAACTGGAATGGAAACAAGGGATTTTGTCAGTCTGAGGATGAGTTTGATGCCAAAAATGTTTTGGGGGAGCTCAGTCTCTTCATACCAGTTATGGCAAGTTCTGCCTAAGCAAAAAAGTCCAACTGCTTGGCCATATATTCTTTGCATTTCCACTTTGTATAGAAAAGAAACTGAAAGGTAATGTGAGCAAGGGTAATGGCAGCGTAGATGTTTAAATAGGAAGGTGAGTGATTTTTGTTCCCTGAGTCTTGCTGGTAGTACCTTAATTTACAAGTAAGTTTCCTATGAGAACATTCTGATGACTTTCTTGGGGTCAGTGAGGACCCAAAGTATTTGATTGAAATTGGCAGTTAATTTGTATCATATTTATTGTTTCTCTTGTTGGTAAATTAATATTTATTGAGCACCTGGGAGCAAGAGACTGTGCTATGTACCTCCCAAGATTTAATGCATAATTCCTGCTCAAGAAAATGTCCACTTCTGTTAAGGGTCATGGAGGATGGAGTATCTTACACCTGTGTCTTGGTCTCATTGGCCCACCTCAACTGTTTCACCCTGAAACCTTCTGGTGCCCATAGAGCAGACAGTAACCTTGGAGATGAGGAAAAAGCAGTCACTTTTCTTCAGGGATATGCAACTAGTACAGGCAGACTGAGCAATCAACCATAGGTCTTCCCAGATCACTACACAGAGGTCTCCCTAATTTCATTTAAGCCACTCCCAGCTTGCAGTGATTATTCTGACTGCTCCGCACTTGTCCCATACTCTTTCTAGTTACAGACCTTGTTCCTGGCCACAGGAGTTCTCATTAGAGCTGGCAGGAAATGTTTTCAAGCACTTGTACAAAAGAATGCCCAGAGCTCTAAGTGGTTGTGGTTCCAGTCTTCCCAATGGAATGAAGCCAATCTAAAAACAGGACTGTGAAGATGAGAGAGGAGGGGGAAAAAGGCAAAGACTTGAGGATGTTTGAATTCCTCAATACCATTGTCCCTGAGCCTGGCTCTACTCCTAACCTTTCTGTGGTTAGTCACATGAAAGATAAATTCCTTTTTCCTTAAGCTGGTTCAAGTTGGATTTCTGTGTCTTGTAACTGAGAGTCCCAATAAAGCCACATTCTTCATAAATTTATTTCCTGTATAATACAAAATTTTAATAATTTAAAAGCCTATAGTACCCTGCCTCTCCTTATTCTAGCTCATATCCCATCACATACATGTAATGCTTTTCTTAAATACTGATGCTATTTATTCCTAGTTTGTTTGTATATTTAACACTGCACAGAGCACAAAAGTGAGGAGCACTTCATAGCTCTTTAAAATACTAATTAGAGGGCAAGTGCAGTGGCTCATGCCTGTATTTCCAGCACTTTGGGAAGCCAAGGCAGGAGGATCCCTTGAGCTTCGGAATTCAAACTTGAGGTGGGTTATGATCGTGCCACTTACTGCATCCAGCCTGGGTGACAGAGCAAGACCTCGTTTTTTGTTTTTTTTGTTTTTTTTTTTTTGAGATGAAGTCTTGCTTTCTCCCCTAGAGTGGAGTGCAGTGGTATGATCTTGGCTCACTGCAACCTCCGTCTCCCAGGTTCAAGTGATTCTCCTGCCTTAGCCTCCCGAATAGCTAGGATTATAGGCACCCACCAACATACCCAGCTTTTTTATTTTAAGTAGAGACGGGGTTTGCCATGTTGGCCAGGCTGGTATCGAACTCCTGATCCACCTGCCTCAGCCTCCCAAAGTACTGGGATTACAGGCCTGAGCCACCATGCCTGGACAAGACCCTGTATTAAACAAAACAAAAACTAATGAGGAAAGAAAGAAGCAGTGGTGGAGCACGTAGAGGCAAAACATGTCAGAATTCAATTCAATTTTTATGACAAAAGCCCAAGGAAGTTGTTCTAGGTCTAGAAATACCTGCCAGAAGCACTTTCTGTAATATAAATCGGGCTTTTTTTCACAAAGCAAATCTTCCTTTGGCTGTAAAAGATATTGGTGACCGTGAGGAGCTCTGAGAATTTTCCACAGACCCATCTTGTTTCCCCAGTGTTAGACAGTCTAACAACTTTCTGAGATGTTTATCTTTTAAAAATTCTATAATGTTCCCAAATATTGTTTGAAAGCAAAGTAAAATGAGTTCTGGATTTTACTGACATAGGTCAATATTCCCATCTATTTAAAGGTGAAGTATCAAATCCTTCCCCGGCTACAAAGAATTTTTAATTTTTTTTTCTATTAAAAAGGAAAAATGGGCTGGGCGCAGTGGCTCACGCTTGTAATTCCAGCACTCTGGGGAGCTGAGGCGGGCAGATCACGAGGTCAGGCGATTGAGACCATCCTGGCTAACACAGTGAAACCCTGTCTCTACTAAAAATACAAAAAATTAGCAGGGCGAGGTGGCGGGCGCCTGTAGTCCCAGCTACGCAGGAGGCTGAGGCAGGAGAATGGCGTGAACCCAGGAGGCGGAGCTTGCAGTGAGCGAAGATTGCGCCACTGCACTCCAGCCTGGGCGACAGAGCAAGAAAAAAAAAAAAAAAAAAAAAAAAAAAAGAAAATGTTGTTCAGAAGAAATATGTAATTTCTGTTAATACTTTATCTCAAAAAACCTTCAGATAGTAATGCCTCTTGTCAAAGTAAAGAGAGAATGGTTGTTGTGTAGAATTGGGGATGAATCAATCACAGGACATTGAAAAAGTGGACTTGATTACTCTTCTTTTGGAAAAGGTCACCATTAAACTCTGTGCTGTGGATTGGGGCCAGAGCAGACAAATATTAAGCAATACAACTACCATATTGTTGGTATAAAAATGTTAACGAAATAGATGATAAGTAATCTCCTGTGATTAAAAGAGGTATTAATCACTAGGTTAGCCAAGAGTTTTCATTCATGTTTATCTCAAAGAAAAGTGCAGTAACTTGAGATCTGACTTTCTGTGGAAGATAAGCAAACCTGATAAACCAATCCTCTTAGAGATTGCTCCTAATTACATTAATTTGATATTTAAAATTAATGACTGTGACTACGACCGACTTTGTCTTATTCATCTCTTTATACCCCTATATCCCCATAGGTTAGGTTCCTTTGTGCTTAGGAACTCAAAAGTTTCTTGGAAAAAAACGTTGTGTTCCTCTTCCCTCTCCACTTAACCCTGATTTTGTTGGGGATGTCAATGTGCCCAGCTAAAAAGGTATATTTTAAAGTCTCCTCTGCATGTAGAGGTAGCTGTGTGACTATCTTCTTGTCAAAGCAACAGGGTGCTTTGGGGAAAGTTGCGTAAAAAGTGTGCTGACCTAGTTTGCACGCATCTTTTTCCCCACGCCCACCCCTTCCTGCCCGAAACATCATAGCTTAACGTTGCCGAGAACATCTTTCTGCCATGAGGTGACTCTGAGGATGGATGTGAGACCTTCTGAAGAAGACAGGCAGGCTTCTGGGCCACTGATGCCATTATGAAATTGCCTTATCAGCCTCGAACTGCCTATTCTCCGAGTACTGTCTGCTTGTTATTATGTGAGAGACAACTTAACTCCTACCCGATGTAAGTCACTGACTCGTTAATTTTTTACTTACTGCTCCAAACAGTT